GGGGGGGGGGGGGGGGGGGGCGACAACTCAGTATGAAACAGCCAATAGAAATGTGGCCAGTTACCTTTTTTCGCAGGTTTCTTGTTGTTGTTTAGCTGCCCGCTGACATCCTGTAACCGTTTTTCTAACTCTTTCTTCTTTTCCTGAGCTAACTCCTCTTTAGACTTTGCTGCTTGCTTTTTCCCACTCGCAGCTGTGGAGGAGGAAGGCACAATTTCTAAGACTGCATACTTGGGAGTGGGGGAAAAAGGCTGGACATTGCTATTTCCAGGGCATGCAAATCTAGGCAACTGCTGTGTAGTTTACTGCTGAGATCACAGCAATTAAACATCCTTGCAGAGAACAATGCCCAAAGTTGCCTAGACTTTCGGCTAATCATCACCCTGTAAGATACAGTCTTTAAAATCTCTCTTTGTAACACTCTGAGATGATAGAATGAGCCATATAATAACCTCACAGTTACAGGTTACTTACCGGCTAGGTATATGGTCAAACAGGCATCTTTCTACATTATAAAATTATACTACATGGGTTTTCTGCCCTGTAAAAATAAATTATCTCATTAAAAAGGGGCAGACAAAGGCATCTGCCATCAAGATATAGACTATTTTGGCAAGAATCCAAATTAAAAATACTGAATGATAGGAGAGACAAAAAGAATAGGTGGCAACCATGTGGCTGCATTAGTTAGGATGGTAATGCTAAGAGGTACTGTCAACGATCTTTTCATGCATAAATGGGGTGTAAAGAGGATATAAAGCACTCCTTAGTACACAACTGAACACAGATCTTAGCTCCTATCAGCTGCAAGGAGGATACGCTGCCTTAGCTTGGTCCACCAAGGAAATGCCTAACTTCCTTACACCTTTTTAAAGTAAGGATAAGCCAAAAGAGGGGCAGAGGTATTACGCAACATAGTGTCTCAAGCAGCAGGAGAGGTGCAGAAAAGATCTGTTTTGTCCCAAAGTGTTCACATCATCTGAACTGACAAAGCCTTGCTCAGGGGAAGGAAACTTTAGAAACCTGCATTGATGAGCTGAGGTTTTCCGTGGCAATGCATGTCTTGGTTACAAAAATGCTCTAACAGCTCTGGAAATTCTCTCCGAAGTGGTCTAGCAGTGAATGAGTCAGTTAAAAAAAAAAAAAAAAAAAAAAAAAAAAAAGGCAACAGAAAAATGTCAAGTTCCCAGTAAAACAGTTTCACTGAGGCCTTTTCTGGAAGTTCTGTGCAATAAGGTGGAATCCCTCTGCAGGCGATTCCTAGCAGAGAAACTGAACCACTGAATCAGGGTGTCCAAAGCTAAATGCATGAACTGTTAACAAGCTTGAGAGGACGACTCAAAGCTCTGTGGCTGGGTGCTGCAACAATTCAAATTCTTCAGAGATCAGGCTTCAGAGGAGGACCTGTAACACGAAGACACCCACGAGCGCGTCTGTTTGCTCCAAGAGCTGACAGAACCAAGAGAAAGGGCCCAAAGAAAAAGAGGATTGTGCTTACAGGACAACTCGGGACGTTTGAGTTTAATTCCTGGTTCTGCCAAATGCTCCGGTTCATGACTCTGGGCAAGTCGCTTAACACTGTGACTAAAAACAAGCAGCTAAAAGGCAGAGACCTGTGGTACAGAAAGCACAGGTTGGATAGATATGTGGCTGGGGTATTATGATCCCAGCGCTCGCTCCTGCCCAGGGCAGGGGGTCGCACTTGACAGTCTGTTCAGGCCCCTTCTGACCCTAGAAGGTATGAACTGTTCAGGATGCATTCACTAAGGGAACATATTCACTGTAAAAAATTAACATCATGTGGGTTTTAGAGGGAAAGAGAACTGTTATAAAGGAGCAGCCGCATGGCAATGGGGTCTTGGGAAGGGTAAATGTAACAGGGTCTTGGCCACTGCCTATCGGGGAAAAAGAAATGATTAAAAGTCCCTGCTACAAGGCGGACAAGTAAATTGGCACTCCGCCGCGCCGTTGACAAATGGTCCTACCACGCAGCCCCGCACCTCCAGGACGGAGCCGGTGCACAACTCGCGCCAGCGGGGAGGGAACTTACAAAACGGTTTCCTTTGTTTTTTCTGTAAACAAGACTTCACATATCTCTCCAGTTCCCGCAAAGTGGTGGGCTTCAAGGTTTCAAAATCTATCTCTATCTCGTCAGGATTGGAGTCCCTGAGGGAAGGTTCCCGCGACTGGATGATGTGCACCACCCTGCCCAGCTTCTCGCCCGGTAGGCGGTTGATGTCCAAGCTGAGCTGGCGCTTCTCATCGTAGGTCATGGGCAGACCCTCCTCCTCCTCCTCCGAATCGTAGGTTGCTGATGCCTGTTTGCCGCTTTTCTTGGGTTGCCTGGAGATTTTTTAAAAACAATAACACTTTTATTGGCTTGCAGAGTGCATTGCTCCTCCTCCTCATGTTAAATATTTCACTGTAAATCCTGATGATTATGATGATATCATTTGTATCCGTGTGACTCACAACCCGCTCAGTTGCAGCCGGTGGCTGAGGGGGCAGATGAGCCTCTCGGCTGTTAGTTTTGGAGTTAAAAGCAGTCGCAAAGTAGAGACCATCAAAAAGCCCAAGGCTGAATTGATTTAATCTTTGCAGGTTAGTCCAAGCCGCATAGATTGAACCAATCAGCAAGCGAACAGACGTTCGCTTTTGATTCCGGATGCTGGGGGACTGTGTGTTAATTTGAATCTGGAGGGGATTTGGACAGAAGTTCAATAAACCAATTTAATCTAAATCAGTGAAGTCTGATATTGCATCTATCCATAGATTCATAGATGCTAGGGATGGAAGGGACCTCAACAGAGATGAGAATTAGGCCTTGGCCTAATGCTACTGAAACTGGTTTAATCTTAAACTGGTTTTGGCCACTTTGAAAGCAGTTTACGTGCATTGAACTTGTGTTACAGATCTGAACCAGTTTCCGATCAGGTTTATGAGTCATTTCTGTCTGGTGCTGCTTCTCTGCTCAACTGGAGCCGATTTAGAAGCAGCTCCCTTCGACGTAAAAGCTGCAGCACCACAGAGGTCCCACACAGCTGTTTGCTGTGTATCCCACAGCTTGTTCAGAGACCCTCATCTTCACAGGGACTAAAGAACCTAATCTTGGTTTCTATTGCATTAATCATATATTTCTGGGATGGATGTCAGCTCAGGAAAGCATTGACACCCATGCTCAAGACCCAGTACTATCAATAAGACTTTAAATGTGTACTTCAGTGCCAACCAAAGCATAGATGCTTTTCCAAACTGGGACCTTGGTGTTTAATGTTCTGCACCTCCAGCTAGTCATTTTAGGAAGTATTTCAGTTCAGTACTTCAGCAGTGCTTATTGGGCCGTGAGGGCATCAGGCAATGAAGATCGTGGAAAATCAGCAGGAACAAAACAGCCTTCTCAGCTGGCTTCGCTTGCATGGCATTAGGGCCTTTTCTGTGTTTCACAGTATGTCTAAAACAGGGATGAATAAGACCAGCTCAAGAGGCTGAAGTCTCCCAGTGATGACAGCGGGACTAGAATTTGGCCCAAAAGGATCAACCCCAATCCAGGCCACTTTGTGCAGCATTAAGCTTTTGGATAGTTCTGAAACATGGGCTTAACTTGGCGGTTTCATCTCTCCACTGGATATTTTTAACTGTTGCAGGTGCAAGGCTGGGATCCAGCTAGGACTGGAACAGAAGAGCTGAAGTGCCATGTTCTGGCCGACTGGACTGGGGGCCAAAAAAGCAAAAACAAAAGCCCAGTCTCATCATCAGTGATGTGGTATCAGAAATGGGATGGATCCATCCCCAGTTCTGTTTTCCAGACTCCAGAGGTTCCTACCAACATGCGTGCTTCGAGGATGGGCTTAGCTGACTATGTTCTCACTTGAAGTCATTGGGAACTTCATCATCATGGATTTCAACACAAATGGAAGGTGGTGTTGGCCTAACGCTACTGATATTCCCACCCAGTCTTATTCATCCCTATTTTAGGCGCACAGTCTGTGTGACGTGACCCATCAGACCTTGTGGTTTGCCCCTTGCTAGGTGAGGACAAGCAATGCAACAGTCATTCGACCAGATAGGCAAGCGTTTACCTTTGTCAATGGAAAAGGTTAACTCATCCAGACACGTGAGAAGGGGCCAAAGACCCACCTGTTGGCTGTGGTCGTACTGTTCGCTTTTTTAGCTGGTGCTTTTTTCTGCTGGGTCTGCTTTGCTGGCTGGGCCACCTTAGGCTTCTTCTCCTCCTCTGCTTTCACTTTGTGCTTCTCTTTTTCCTTCTCTTTATCCTTGTCTTTCTTTTTCTTCTCTTTCTCCTTCTCTTTTTTTTTCTTTGGTTTGTTCACTGGTGCTTGGGACAGGGCTGCAAGCTGCTCGTGGACGGCTTTCAGCTGAAGGAAAAGACAACAATCAAACCGCAGCATGAACGCACCAGGCGTGCCCTGCTCATGCACACACTGTCTCACACTTGCACATGCACCTTTGAAGCTGAAAGCCACAGACTGGGTTGAGTGTATTGATTTTACTTTGGAGTCTCTCTTGGATTGGGAAAACTCCCTTTAAATCTCTAGGTACACATACTCAGAAGTTGACACCTGGGCAGAAACTGTTCCTGTTTTGCAGGTTAATGACAATTTGACATCTCTGGAGGCAAAATGCATAAAATGGGTGGAGTGTTTTTTGGTGCCAAGTATTGCCACTCAGGAGTCAGTCCTACGCACTTTGGGACCCTTGGAGGAAGCGTGCAATGCCAATGCCAATGCCACCTCCTGCTGCTGGGAAGAAGAATTAACATTATTCTACCCACCACGTTGCTCTGAAAAAGCTCCCAGCCACAACAGACTTCCTAGGGGAAAACTGCCCCCTCCTCAAACGTGGCTCTACTCTGCCTTATACAGAGGCAGACCACCCAACGAGGCTGCTGCCCTGCTCCTCACCTGCTCCTGGAGCTCAGCCAGCCTGGTTGCTCGCTCCTCTTCAGAGTCGGACGTGTCCGAGTCTGACGAGCTCTCCTCGCTGCTGTGGCTGCTTTCCGTGCTTTTGCTCACCACCGGTGCCGTTGGAGGAGGAGGTGGGGGTGGCTCCGCAGGCTCATCCGGCATCTTTGCGAATCTCATCTCAAAGACATCCTGCAGAAATGGCTGGAGTCAGGGGGACCAAGCCCTCACTCTGCCTCTTTTAAGATAGTTATATTTGTAAATACAGTAGCACTGGCTGGCCCAGCTGGATATGGGTACCTGGTCACGCAGTCTGGGGAGTCAATGGTAACCCGACATCATGCTAACTGCGTTACTCTTGTGTGCCACTGGCTACAGAAACTGGCTCGATGGGCTACACCTCCGACCTCGACTAGGAATCCCAATCAAGTGCCAGGACCCTGCTGTGCTAGGGGCTGTACAGACAAGTGATCAAAAAAACAAAACAAAACAATCCCGGTACCAGAAAGCTTTCAGTCTATGATCTTAAGGGGCTGATCAACAGCATTCCCTCTAAGCTGCACAGCGTGCACGGCTGCGCAGGCGCACCTGGCAGCGTGGCACGAGCGTGCCTGCATGGCCATGCAGCTTAGAGGGAACGCTGCTGATCAAGCTCCTTTAAAGTCAAAGGAAAACTCTCCTTTAATATTTTCTGAATCACTCACTATTGGAAATCAGGGTGAGATCTCAGTTGAAGGCAGATGATCTACTTCCTCTAAGGTTTTTCTACCTTTCCCTGGCACCAGCCACTGACTCAGACGGACCCAGGGTTTGATGCTGTCTGATAGTGCCCAAGTGCCTCTCTGCGGGTTTCCTTTCCTAATGACAGCCCCGTTGCTGGGACTGGTGGAAGCAGTTGGCTCTTCCACACTCCTGGGGTGAATTCCCTAACCTCTGACACTAACTGCACTTCTTGTTAGCAAGGGTGAGAACATCTGCTGCAGGAACCTCAGACACCGGTGTTATGCTGCTACATTGCTAGCATAGTTTTCCGATTGCACAACAGCTCCCAACTCTGCAAAGGAGAGTGCTCTAAGGAGCATACCGTGCAAGGCTAAAGCCATTCTCCTCTTACTTTACAAGGCAATGGTGAAGTATACAGCTCACGCATCTGATTCAGCTAGTCTATAAGGTGCACCTCTAACCTGCCTTCAGCTTGGAATTGAGTTCAGCTTTGCGTCGCACACTGAAAGAACATTATCATCCAGTTGAAAAGGGGAGCACCCGCCATGCCACAAACACACTAGCCCAATGGGCTGCTGACTTGGGTGGTCTTCCAATCTTTTGATAACCTAGGCTGTCCCCTCTTCAAAGGTTATAAGGGCCCTTTCCAAAGACTGGAGAAGTCATGGAGCCCGCCCCCGAGAAAAACACCAAGAAGAGAGGAGCGTACTCAGACCACCGAATACTCCCACTACGGCAGCACTACAGTAAACTCAGAGACGGGTGGGGAGGGATGTGCTTGCCAACACCGTTACCTGGAGCTTCCTGGCCATGGCTACAACTTCATGGTCTGGAGGATTGTACTTGTAACAATTAGAGAACATTAACCGAATATCCGCTGCGAAGCCCTGAGCATCCTGGTACTCCCGGCTGTCCATTTTTTTCTGCAAACAAACAAGCCAGAAGGGGAATGGGGGAGGGAAAGAAAAGCCATAAGCAAAATGCACTCGTAGGGGTGGCAGAGCTGACGCATGCATCATGGAAGACCCCGGAGTAGCTCAAAAGCTGCTCGCCTCCAGTAGCTTACTTGCTAAATACTTTTCAGGCTTCTGGTGGTCTTTGAAATACATCAAATCCTTTCACTGTTGTGTCACACTGAGCTCTTCAGAGTATAAAATATTCTGTTTAAAGAGCCATTCTGTGAACTGTCCAAAGGGTTTGCTTTCTGTTAGAAGGGAAAGGGTCACCTAAAACAGGTATGGAAGTTTGTATCAGCCAGGAGGTCACGGAGCCCCAGCAGGACGCCGAGGCACGGAACTCCCCGCTTCTAGCTCGCTCTCCAATTACGTTGGCTTTCAAAATGCACAGGGCCACATCCTCAGCTGCACCTCCGACATTTCTGGTGCTACGATCATTTAAAGCAGCTGGAGATCTGGCACGCACGTGCTCCTCTGTGATCCTGACAGAAAAGTCCTTGACCCTGAATATGCCTAGCAAAATGTCACGGGTAGATCCAGCAGTGACGCCGGCGCATCAGGGTTTGCAGGGTCGGGCACCTGCTAAGCGAGGACAGGAGACAAAAAGGAAGGCTGGAGGCTTCCTTAAGTCGGTCAGGTGACTTGTGCACGCATTTCCACACACATTTAGCTAACCCCCGAAGTTTGTCCTCCTTTTCCATGTCCATTGAAGCTCGACTCTCAGTTCCCCTGCTTGGTCAGCCTATTATATAGAATAGCTACATAATGGAAGGGTCCCTCCCCACACTCGGGTTACAGAGCAGCAGTAAATAATACTAACGTCTAGCTTAACGTATTGCAGCAGGGTATTATGCAGGATCTTATTCAAACAGGTCGACTTCAAGGCTTGTATTTTGCAACGACAATCTCCCTACCACCCCAAAAAAGTAAATGCCCAGTGGTCACCCAGCTGTTTTATACACCTGTCTCTCTCTCCGAAGTGAACGGGGTTTTGCCTACAGACAGACTGCCAGGTCCCCGAGGGGAAAACACTTCCCTGTGCAAAGAACGGCAGAAAGTTCAAGTACTACTTATTCAAATATTTAGTTGGTCTAATAAAAGAGGATCCACGGGTTTTGATTCCAAGTACTGCTTATATATCGACGACCCAACCTGACAGTCCTAACACCTCCACTGCATCTTCAGTGGAAGATACAGGCTACTGAATGGGCTTTGTAGTAACTTTTCCAGGGTTTAAGCGGCACATCAAAAAGGCATGACGTACAGGAGAAAACTTCACCCTTAGTGAGAAAGTTTTGGCAGGAAATCTGAATGCAGAATACCAACGTTACTACAACGCTTCGTTTTGCAGCTATGGCCAGATGCCTGTCAGGCTTCCTGTTACCAGGCCCAATTTTCAGTGATTTAGTAAGCCTTTGAGCTGCGGGACAAGGGTGGAGGGGACGAAAGGACTGCGATCCTACGGACGAAGAACAGTTTGGCCTTATATGAGAAAAAAGTTCCAGGCCAATTCCAAAACCAAACAATACTTCCAAACTAAAGAGCCCATTTATTTTAAAATATGTCTTCCTGTAATGAAAGGCCTTTTTGATGAGCTTGTATTTGTCTCGCATACTCAGCAGCTGATTATGGCCTATAAAATACATTTCAGTGTGGGAGGCTTCGCTTTCATCCAAAAACAACGGCTTTCGAGCCCAAAGTGCATTTTAATCCGTGGATTTTTGTCGCTGCAAAAAACGAAAAAAACCTCACACAAGACAAAACTAACTGGGCAAAAATGTCTTTGGTGATGGCATTTCTGAAATATGGTGGTGACAGATGAGGCGAGGTTTGCAGTTGCAACGTCCGGTCAGAGAAAGAATAGAAAGCGGGGGAGTTTCTTACCTGGTATAGGGTATGGACAAATGATTAAACCACAGCAAGTTAACAAGAGGCAGGGACTTACCACGAAGCTTGCAACTGCTTTTCATGGCAAGGGAAAGCTATCTTGGGGCAGCCCAACCCAGAATGAAACAGGGCTCAGTTGCCCACTTTTGCTTACCACAAGGCAAGAGTGCGCAGACGGGCAATTAACTGAGTGCCAGCTGCTGCTCGGATGTTTCCTGCCCTCTTTTAACTTGCTGCAACTTGAGTCACCATCCACACTTTTAAGGACCCGGCTTTCACCAACTTTCCTCTTGCCCCCTTTCATAATCCCAGCCCTGAAGCTTAAGGGACCTTTCATATTCATGATCTGATGCTGTGGGACTGCAGCGGCCTTCTGCACTTGCGTGCGGCTTTACAGACCGCACTTGGGAGTCCGGCAGTGGAACAACATCACTACGCCCCATTATCCGAGCAGGGGTTCAACGTTTCCCAAACCCTGCTCGCTATCTACGTGGCTCATCTCCTCAAGAAGTGCTGCCTTGTAAATCTGGTGTTTTACACCTCAAGAAAAAGCTGCCTCCCCAACAGGCGAAATTAAGGGAACGCTGAAAACCCATTTCTGCCTTCAAAAACACTCAACTCGGCTGCTTGGAGACGGTGGCAATTTACTACAAGAAAATTAACAGAGTAGCATGCCTAGCTCCCCAGGGGACAATCCTTCATCCTGAAGGCAAGCGCTTCACATAAATCTTCTTATATAGCAAGAACTGGGGCTTGTTTGCTACCTTGTAAATAAAAGCCAGTGACATCCATGTGTCTGCCTCGGCTGATGAGGAACGTGACCTAATGGCCACAGGAAAAGACAAAGTCAGCCGATTCGGGTCCTGCTCCGTGCAATCCTGGACACAACCTTGCCCCCTTAGCCCTGTGTTAACGGGAGATAACACTGCAGGCTTGTTGGATGGGCTGGTTAACGTTTGTCCTTTGCAGAGAGGTACGGAAGTGCCAAGTGTTAGTCCAGACTCTACGGCGATCGTTTAAGCTATTGCAGTGTAATTACCAAATAACCCGCAGCATCCTCAGGATACTTACAATTTAATCCATTCCTGCCATTGATCCAGTCTGCTCCAGAACCCCACTCAGCTTATATCCTTCTTTCTGTCCACTCCACCAAACAGCTCCGTGCTCCATGGAGGAATTACACCTCCAAGGCATCCGTTCTTCTTTGGGATGCTCGTGGAGTTTACCCTGGTACGTGCTCATTGATAATGGAAACCTCTGCAGCGCCTTATCCCATACAGACCCCTCAATTCCCTCAGCTCTCCCCGCTCTGTTTCGATCCAACCTTCCCTGCACTACTCCCCCCATCAGACATATAGCTATTCTCTCCACCAAGTTCAGCTTCCCAAATCAGCCGCCTTGCCAAAGACAGCTCAGGCCCATTTCTTTTCCTCTCCCCCTTCTTGGAGACAGTCGTAACTTCCAACCCGCTGGCATCCTCATCTCCAAGTCCATGAGCTTTACCAACAATACCTGGGCTTGCTGCAAAGAAATGCCTCCCCGGACTTGTGGGGGGGGGGGGGGAATTAAAAAAAAAAATCAATTCTTAAACATCCAAGCAACAGAAGTGACAAGGGACATTTCCAGGGCACCTGCAACAGCTGCTGACCAGATTTCTTTCTACATTATGCACTCAGCATTTGTTTAAAGGAATGGGAGTCGTGGTCTTCAGATACTAGAGGGTTTTACCTGCTGCAGGGTGTAGAGTCATCTCGGCGGTCCTGACAGTGTTGGTGCGAACACCACAACTCCTATTCCTTTAAACAAATTAGCCAAATCAGTTCCAAATTCCATCGACTGAGCAGAGCCGAGTCGTTCAGGCCTGTGTTGTGGTACCACCAGCTGGTATCCTACCTCCCAGACTCATTGGTCTTGGGGTTCAGATGCTCCCAAATCCATGGCAGGTATCCTATGTGCAAGCCCCAAGCCCAGAAACCTAGGGATTCAGATGCTCCCTAGTTTCAGTTGCCTCTAACCAAAAGGCTGTAGGAACATGTTAGAGGGAAAACCCAAGAGCAATCCCCCACTGCCATAAAACGTGTAGCCGAGATCCTCCCATTGGGAAGCTACAGTAGACTCTCGTAGGAGTGCCCATCCACAACACAATGGCCAGGTTTCCACCCTCAACTACATCAAGTCATTCAAGGCTGGAAAGAAGGGGATCTCCCCTGCCAAACAGTAAAACCACTTGGGCCAACAGCAACATCCTGCTATCGCCCCTGCTGTGTGTGTGTGTGTGTGTGTGTGTGTGTGTGTGTGTGTGTCACTGTATTATATATTGTACATATTATATATACACACATACTATAGTATATATTACATATAGGTATACAGTGGTGTGTGTGTGTGTGTGTGTGTGTGTGTGTGTGTGTGT